TATTAGCGAACAGGCTGACAACCAGATGTGTTTATTATAAGCAATTTGAACTTAGTATCAAAAGATAAGTGAAGTGGCGTTGAACAAATTTTTAAGAAGTGTTTAATCTAAGTAATATACTGAATTACAGAGATTTTGTAGACTATATAGCTTTTCTAATATCGACTACTCACATTATTATTTATATCAGGTAGACAAATATCATGACTCTAATAACATTGAAATAGTAGTACGTGGTAAGCTTAAGTAAACATATTTTCCATCAAGAAATTACATTCCCTATAAAACTACAATAAATAGATAGATATTTGATTTTATAATTTAAGTCATGAACTCATTTTAGCTGGGTCATCATTAGAGATCAGGAAGCACTGAACGATCGTATCGTCCTAGCATTAGGTTTCTCAGTTGTGTGCACCTAGGACTCCGCATCTGAGAATTGAAATTGAGGACTTTTGCTTCACGCGCAAAGGCCTAACCTCTGGACCACTAAGCTGGGATTGATTGGTGAATATGTCTAAATTCAATTAATTTACGATACTGCACAACTCTTATTATCTGTGATAGACAATTATCTGACATTCGATTTGGTTGAACTTCACTAGTCACTCCAAGAGTTGCATCTTGAATCTGGTCACTAGTGAGCATATGATTAATGTTAGTATACGGAGTAGAGTTTGTAGAGATTTTAGAATCTTTATGATTTGAATTACGAACTGATCTTGGCTCCTTAATTGTCAGACCATTTTCATTCAAATAGATCGGATAATGCGATTTGGCACTACTTGAAATATTTCACTTAACAAAAATTAATTGTTTCTTTACAAAGTAATTTGATCTTATCATTAAAGGTTAGTAATATATAGAGTGTTTGAGTTTTTAACTTTATTATCCTATGATTAAATTCCGTAACAAGTCATTTTATCCTGTTTTACACTTGCCGTTTATTTCATCCATTCCAAATATTTGATTTTATGATGTACACCTAACAACAACTGATCATTACATCAATCCATTCGTCACACAGAACAAACTATATAACCTTCTTACTCCCTATAAAAACTTTACCCGGTTAGGCTGTTAAATAATTTAATGTTAAATCTATTCGATCCTAAATCATTTTGTATTCTTTTTCTTTTATCTCATTATCAAGTTAGTCTAGTTAGACCACGATATAAGCCTAGAAAGTATATAATATTACATTAGATTAGAATATCTAATAACTGGATTAGGATGGAGCTTACAAACTAATAAACCTGACAAAAAAGCACCTAATTCAGTCTATATCTCACAAGCTTTTTAAACATAGTGGCGACTAAATGATTCTGAAGACAAAGGCTACAGGGGAGATCAATAAGAATCACGTAAGATTGTTGAAATCAATATTCATGAAAATAAGTTCACCAACTTATGCATAGTATACAGAGATAAGTAAGTTGACGAAATAATTTGTTAGTTGGGAATGGGAACTGGGATTTGCTCTAACATTGCTGAGAACTGACGCAAATACCATTATCTGATACGATAAAATGTTATGATACATATTACTAAGTATGTTATTAATAGAATATTATAAATATATAAAATTCTGGTAAATTATTGTCAATCGACAATACAGACTACATTAGAAATATGAGCAACTTCTCGTGCAGTTTTCAATTAATCACTGTCAAAGTAGTGTTTGTACTCATTAAATCACAAAAGTGATGACTTCCGAAGTAATGATATTGGAATACATTTTTCGAAGTATAACATATGATGAAGTAAGTCAACTGACGATCATTAAAACGTATACAGGCTGAATTCAATGAAAGAACACATTTGAAATAACAACTAAAGTGAAAACACTGATAAGTAATTATCAGTATATGATTGTGAAGATTATTGAGTTCCGCTGAAATCATGAGTCAATCAATGTCAGACCACCAATGAAAACCTGAAGGCACTGGATGACCGTTTCGTCCTAGTATGGGACTCCCTAGCAGTGGGCATCCATGACCCCCAAACGGGGCTCAAACCCAGAAAACTCGGTCTAGAGCGCGAATGCTCAACCTTCAGATCACTGGGCCGGTATCCAATGGAGTTGATGTCTAACATCGATCAATGGAAATCGAAGGCCCTGGGTTCGATGCCCATGCCAGGTTTTGTGTCTGCTCACTGCTGAAGAGCACTATATTAGAACAAAACGTCCGTCCAGCGCTTCTAGGTTTTCAATAGTGGTCTACGATTGATTGAGTCATGATTTCAGTGAAACTAAAGAGTGAAATTTTTAAAACATTTCTTTATAACAGTGATTTAATGGTACAGTTGGATTAATTTATCGTTTATACGAGATAACACAATAATACTAAATATGATATATGATATACAAGATAATCGGTAGGGTACACCAAACCACTATACTAGCCAGATACACGATTAACGGCTGACAATTAAAAACTTAACCACAAAGACAAAACAGTTAGTTTACACACAATGAATTCAGAGTAGGAATCACATTTACAATATCAAGATAGTGACTTATATTATTGATTATGAAATGTTTGTTTATTTTCATTCACTCACAAATACCAGTCAACTATTATATAACATATCAGACATAGTATCTTAAATTGCACTTAATGCACAGAATGAAATTGCTGACTAAATCTATTAGAATAATGGAACCATTCATGAACAAATCGACTTTACATTTAAGTCTATTCAATGATGGAATTAATTAATTCAAACTAATGAATCTCATTACCACATAACATTTCATGGAATCATATTCACACAGAATAATAAAGTATAATGTAATCTAATGTAAATAATAATAATAATAATGATAGTAATAGACTTTAGAATCATCATCATGAGGGATAAGAGGCGTAAGTAAGTAAGTCAGTAATACATAACTGTAATTAGATGTTGGAATAGTAGAATTATTAATAGTATCAGCGATAGTAGAAAAGATTGTTTGTATATTTATTTATTTTAACACATATATATTGGTACAAAGGGATACCGAATACAAGACTACGGATATACCATACCAACTAGTGCTAAATAGTACAAACCTAAGTCCACAGTTTCCTATCAACTGATTCCATCTATTAGGTTTGAATTATATCTTGTTCGAAAGCTTTTAAAAGACAAAAAGAAAGATATTTAACTATTTTACTGACCGAAATTCATGTCATTTTATAAATAAATCGAAGTTGTGTATATTAACCACTAAATTTCAACTTAATGGTCACTGTATAAACATGGAAATCTTATACGTTATTCTGTTTAAAGTTGTTAGGTGAATGCATCATTATAGATAGTAAACAATAAAGGAAAATCTCTTTCTAACATTTTGTAATTTCTAAAAGACTATTTACTTGTTCAAGGTGTGTCGGAAAAATCGTCTTATATTCACAGTTGAATTCACGAGTCGATCTAAGCTGGACCATCATTGAAAACCTGGAAATATTGAACAGCCGTTTCGTCCTAGTATGAGACTCCTCAGAAGTGCTCGTCCACGATCCCGCATAAATGATACGAACCCAGAACCTTCGGTCTAAAGCGCAAACGCTTAATCTCTAAACCACTGAGTCGGTATCCAACGGTGTTTAATGTCTAACTTCAATCAATCCATGACCTTCCGCAACCCTTCATTTATCCACAAATCTCTATACTGATCATTTTTATCTTAAAATGGTATGGTCCTTTGTTTTTCGTGCAATAATAATTTTATTCGATTCATAATTTTTCCGTCTTGTAAACATCTGTATTGCCTAAATACTATAAACGTATAAAGTTATTTTATTATTTATCCAAGGATAGAAAATATCCATGAAATTACAGCTCATCTACTCTTCAATGTTCAGTATGTGTGCAATGTCTAGGATCTTTCTGTTCAATTACTGAGTGATTGCTGCATATAAGAGTATAATTTCTTCTGAGAATTTCACTTCAATCTCCAAATTTCACTATATTATTTTTTACATTTAACAATTTGGAATACGCTACAGTAACGTCTTCATAGAAGACATATATAAATAGTTTTAGGTGAATGAAATTTATTTATTTATTTGAATACATAAATATTAGTTTAGAGGGGCGACAAAAGTCACTTGATTTGTGTGTGGGCTGTCATACTGCTCGGATTCTCAGACAAAATCAGGTGGTTTTCGTAGGTGGCCACTTTGACCTAAAGCTCTGATCCATAAGGCAGTGGAGTAGCGTCAGGAGATGCAGTCCCATTGTAACCGATCACCAATAATTGGTTCATACTCCATTTGTTCTCTCAGGATATTGGATCCCATGTACACCATTGGTTTGAAATCAGGGTTTTCAAACTCCTCTAGTTGGATCCTCTATATTCACCAACCTGATTAAAGCACCGGAAATTCGCTTTTCGTTCTCTCAATTTCGTAAACAACAGTAATGCCGTGAGAAGGCGGTGAGTAGGACTTATCTTATAGTGACTGTGTGAACATTTTGAGAGGGAGAGCTGACTCGCCTTAATCTCAACTGTACTAGTGCATTTAAGGGCCTAATGTATAATGAAGCTAATAAGTGACTACGGTTGAAGCTAGTCTATTCAATGATGGATTTAATTACTTCAAACTAATGAATCTCATTACCACATAACATTTCATGGAATCATATTCACTCAGAATAATAAAGTATAATGTAATCTAATGTAAATAATAATAATAATAATGATAATTATAAACTTTATGATCATCTCATATATTGTGTATTATGTAATTTACCATATCGTATTTCAGTAATATTATCTAAATTTACTTTTTTATAATTGAGTTCTATACAATTTAATCACTATACATTATGTACATACAATAGTACTATTTACATATTGGAAAAGAAGAAAAGAAAAGAAAAACAACACTTGTTACCAAGTAAAAATAGAAAAAAAGAAACACACTAAAAGTTTTGTATAAAAGTCTTTGAAGAAACAATTGAGTTATTAGAATATACTACTTAACTATTAAAAAGAGTATTCAATCATGAATAGATCCGTTTGGACTGTTATAACATGTACAATGTTATTAGTTGTTATATGTAATTTTAATACAAGTAAGTAAATACTTTTTATGATATACTAAGTGTTTTGAATTCATTTGATATTGTTTACTTTTATCTTCTCATTACTGTTTAGGACTGTAATTGACCAGTTTCTTGTTGGTATATGTACATCTTGTGTAGACTGCCTCGATATTGCCTTAAGTCACAAGCATGATAAACAAACATGAACTCAGTAGCTAGGTGGATAACGTGATGACGTTTAAAACGTACGGTACTGGGTTCAAGTCTTGTAGTGATCATCAACTCTGGGATGCAGGTTTATCTATCTGATGAGTCCCATGTAGGACGAAATGCGCGTCCTGGATTTCACTACTAACCACTATTCATTTTTGCTTATTAGGTATTTTCCTATAAATTTTCTTAAATGTAATTCTGATTGAATTTAAATAAAAACAATATTCATTGACATAATGAGCCACATTAGCGGTTACCATAACTTATCATGTATATCTATAAAAAGTAACAATCCTTTGTTAATGATGAATAAATTTTATCATAGAAAATAGTGAAATTATAAAAGTAGACCAATGTATTTGACTTAATGATTAAATAATGTAAAGCTTTTTGGGTTACCTGAAAATTGTATATTCAATCCTTTCCAGAGTTTAGCGTATGTACTACTGAATAGTAACCAACTTATATATAATTTATATTCAAGGTTTCCTAGCACTCGATAGTTTCTCAGATCATCTTAATCCGTGATCCAACCTTGATTTAAACTCAAAATTGATTACATAACTCTATTTCATTTTTAATACTTTACTCTAGTGAAAGCTGCTCCAGCTAATAAGTAAGTTAAACAGTATAAATTAAGATGTATGGAATTCCAACCTCTTTATATAAAAGATCCATTTCATGAACTAATGATGATTCTAATTTCAAAAGACTTTCAAACTAAAATGTAGTATACATTTATTTTGTATTGTTTGTTTGAATCTTCTCTATTGATGTTTAGGACTGTAATTGATTAGTCTCTTATCGATATATGTGTATTCTGTATGCATTACCTCGATAGTACCTTAAATCAAAAGCATTATAAACAAAGACGGATGGGATGCAGGTACATGAAGCTGAAGAGTTCCAAGTGTGGACGAAAAGCGCATCCTAGATTCCACCGTTAGTCACCATCCATCTTAAAATGTAGCATGGTTAGATAAATGATAAACGTTGTTCTGTTTTACTGTTAAGGTTTCAAGCTCAACATTTATTACATTATGTAAAATTATTAGGTTGGAAATAAACTTTGCTGAGCAATATAGATTTACATGTATTTTATACATGTAACATTGTATTGTTCATTTTCACTGCAATAGATAATTGAGAAACAGCCGGAATATGTGATCAGTGAGCGTAACAGGACTAAGATTGAAATAGTTTTGACTTGATAGAAGGTGGTGAATATCTAGAGAAAGTTTAAAAAATAAATGAATTGGGTCATTCGTCTAAAGGTTAAGCGTTCGTGAGCGAGACTGTTAGGTCTTGGGTTCGAATCTCGCGGAGCGGACTCGTGGATGCGCACATCTGAGGAGTACCATACTGGGACGAAACGGTCTTCCAGTACTTCCAGGTTTTTCATGGTGGCCTAGCTTCAATTGACTCGTGAATTCAATTATTAAATGAAACTTTATTATCTCCGGAAGATCAACTGATATATTGTGTGTAATTAAACAATAACAAAAGTTTACGGTTTTCAAATGTTTTGAAAAAAATCAGGGATCAAGATCTGACTGATGACATAAAGATTACTTTTTTAGTTGCTATTGACTACTGTATGACAATATTCATTTCAAGAAGATGGTTATCTTGTTCATTATGATAAGAAGACATATTTTCTACAGATTAGTTTGTGCATATGATCTTATAAATTACATTGTGAAGGGATCTCTATATTTGATCAAGTTGCTCCACTGATGAGTGTCATACGGTACAAACCATTGAGTATCTAATTTATGTCCTATTTGAAGACTGGATATAATACTGGTTCATTTAATGAAAGGGTCTGTACAAACTCAACGGACATTATTATTTAGCATGGTGTTTGAAACTCAGAGACATGTCAATGAAAGGAAAGTATTGATTTGATACTGATAGAAGTTGGCATGAAATCGATTTATTGTTATTACGTTGAACAGAGATAAGTTATTCAAATATCTTAACTAATTACCGGAAAGGACTCATTTTGCATAACCAATACTAGCTCATTGAATATAATGGCAATACTGTGTTAATCAATAATAGGTTTGATTAACACTGGTCATTTGACAGATCTTATGAATTAATATTTTGAGTCTTTCTTAAAATATACAATAATTCAAACTGAGTTGTTTGTAAGACAAGCAGATGGTTTTATAGTACGTGTAATTGCAGAGAATAGTAATCAACTAACCATGGGAAATTCATGATGTAGTGTCCAGTTGTTTGATTGTTTTGGAAATTATCACTAGGATTTGAACATTCTCAGATATAAGTGAGAGTTTCGTCTACGACTGGTACTCTCATTGAAATATTTAGTTCTACATCTGTAACATTCTATGCGCTTACCATTCTTGCAACTGATCAAGTTTCAAAACTGTTTCATTCATAAAAATCAATTAATTTGTTAAGGATTTAATCCTTTCTAACCATTAATGTACCATACAAAGTTACATTTTTAATCACAGTGCAAGAAAGTCTTCTTGGTATTTATTCTACTGATACATAAATATCGGGTATGAAGTTTGGTAACAACAAAGTTTCGGACAAAAGTTAACTTTTACTTTAAAAAAACTGATGTCGACGGAAGTGTTAGGAATATCCAATAGGAGTTGATCGCAGACAAACCTATATTACTGAGGACTTAAACATTAGTCTAATCAGATTGCTCATCGACTACACCCTACGAGGATCGCTTACTAATGTAAGTGTACCACAGTCCAGCACAAATGGTTCACCTACATATTTATGATTTCAATATACCGCTTTCCATTAAATACATAAACAAAGAGCAAATCTCTCTGGATTATTATGTTGGTTACATAAGATCAGATGATTATTCAACCTGAAATTTTAGATAGTAAAATTCATTGATCTGTTCAATATGTAGTTTAACCAATCAAAGATGCAATATTCGGTTTGAACAGCAGAATCGGAGGAACATGAATGGGATCTATGAAGCTTCAATCAATGGTAACCTACACATGGCAAAATGAAAGACATATACGATAGGGTGATAGAACTTACAGAACAAATATTGAACAGAGAAAAGTTAATTGATGACGGACAATAAAAACAATCAAGCTACTGGAAATATCCGGAAGATTGAGAGTAAAGTTTCGAGGGTAATTTCTTCTTAAAAAATCTAAAACTAAATGGATTAGCAAAAAGTGAAAATTTCGTATTTGGTGTGACATAAAAAGTAAAATTGTAAAACACATGAGATCGGGAAACCGATGAATTTGTGGACAGTGATACAAACAAAATCATGAAATCAAACATATATATTCTATAATCAAAATGAAATAAAAACGAAGACTGTAAGAAATTTGATGAAAAAAAATAAACAATAAAATTTAACATGAAGAAATATTAACGTGATTACGATGATATTATCATGAACAGTACACAAGTACCAGCGAAAACAACGTAAGTTATTCGATAAAATTTTATTAGATTGTATAAATATTTGACGATTGTTAATTTGATCACGACACCTGAATACAAATCTCTCCACTGATATCATTAGTGGGCGTATGGCACCGGATGATATTCATTGCAATCCTCTTCTTATTTGTTTAAGAGGATGCTTCGATGATCCTCGATCCACGAGAATCTCGTACTACAAGCGGCTTTCGTGCTTCTTTGTACATCATCAGTGCAACTCCATGTGTGTCGAAGGCATTTTATTTCTGATGATCAGATTACCACAACAACCCCTACCGAAGATAATCTCTATTGTTTAGATTGCTTCCAATGTGTTTCACAAGTGCTAAGTACTGTCGGTTTGTATCTTCCGAATTCCACAGATACTTGAATGATCAGTCAGATCTCCCACATTGTGCGAACATTGCATGTACCTATAATAATTGGTGTCCTGGTTGTCAGGAGAGTCATTGATCTCGTGATTTTTCAACAATCGTAGCTTTCATCATCAAGCATCGTAACACATACGAGAGAAGACTATTCGACACTTAAGACAGAGCTTCAATCGTTTTAACTGATAATTTCTGGTTAGCGTTTGTTTAGCAAGTTTGATTGGTACGGGATGTTGTTACTAACCCAATCCCCAATCCTTATCTCTCATCCGAGCATGGGATTGGGAGTAAGCTTAGAAGTGATAGAGGTGAAGTTTATATTACTATTGACTGTTGTTGATCTGATCAAAATACTTGGATGTGAATTCTTATCCATATACATGATGCTATTAATATTAACAGTCCTAAACCTGCAGCACCTTCTACGTAAGTTATTCGAAAATATTTTATTAGATTGTATAAATATTTGACGATTGTTAATTTGATCACGACACCTGAATACAAATCTCTCCACTGATATCATTAGTGGGCGTATGGCACCGGATGATATTCATTGCAATCCTCTTCTTATTTGTTTAAGAGGAGCTTCGATGATCCTCGATCCACGAGAATCTCGTACTACAAGCGGCTTTCGTGCTTCTTTGTACATCATCAGTGCAACTCCATGTGTGTCGAAGGCATTTTATTTCTGATGATCAGATTACCACAACAACCCCTACCGAAGATAATCTCTATTGTTTAGATTGCTTCCAATGTGTTTCACAAGTGCTAAGTACTGTCGGTTTGTATCTTCCGAATTCCACAGATACTTGAATGATCAGTCAGATCTCCCACATTGTGCGAACATTGCATGTACCTATAATAATTGGTGTCCTGGTTGTCAGGAGAGTCATTGATCTCGTGATTTTTCAACAATCGTAGCTTTCATCATCAAGCATCGTAACACATACGAGAGAAGACTATTCGACACTTAAGACAGAGCTTCAATCGTTTTAACTGATAATTTCTGGTTAGCGTTTGTTTAGCAAGTTTGATTGGTACGGGATGTTGTTACTAACCCAATCCCCAATCCTATCTCTCATCCGAGCATGGGATTGGGAGTAAGCTTAGAAGTGATAGAGGTGAAGTTTATATTACTATTGACTGTTGTTGATCTGATCAAAATACTTGGATGTGAATTCTTATCCATATACATGATGCTATTAATATTAACAGTCCTAAACCTGCAGCACCTTCTACGTAAGTTATTCGAAAATATTTTATTAGATTGTATAAATATTTGACGATTGTTAATTTGATCACGACACCTGAATACAAATCTCTCCACTGATATCATTAGTGGGCGTATGGCACCGGATGATATTCATTGCAATCCTCTTCTTATTTGTTTAAGAGGATGCTTCGATGATCCTCGATCCACGAGAATCTCGTACTACAAGCGGCTTTCGTGCTTCTTTGTACATCATCAGTGCAACTCCATGTGTGTCGAAGGCATTTTATTTCTGATGATCAGATTACCACAACAACCCCTACCGAAGATAATCTCTATTGTTTAGATTGCTTCCAATGTGTTTCACAAGTGCTAAGTACTGTCGGTTTGTATCTTCCGAATTCCACAGATACTTGAATGATCAGTCAGATCTCCCACATTGTGCGAACATTGCATGTACCTATAATAATTGGTGTCCTGGTTGTCAGGAGAGTCATTGATCTCGTGATTTTTCAACAATCGTAGCTTTCATCATCAAGCATCGTAACACATACGAGAGAAGACTATTCGACACTTAAGACAGAGCTTCAATCGTTTTAACTGATAATTCTGGTTAGCGTTTGTTTAGCAAGTTTGATTGGTACGGGATGTTGTTACTAACCCAATCCCCAATCCTTATCTCTCATCCGAGCATGGGATTGGGAGTAAGCTTAGAAGTGATAGAGGTGAAGTTTATATTACTATTGACTGTTGTTGATCTGATCAAAATACTTGGATGTGAATTCTTATCCATATACATGATGCTATTAATATTAACAGTCCTAAACCTGCAGCACCTTCTACGTAAGTTATTCGAAAATATTTTATTAGATTGTATAAATATTTGACGATTGTTAATTTGATCACGACACCTGAATACAAATCTCTCCACTGATATCATTAGTGGGCGTATGGCACCGGATGATATTCATTGCAATCCTCTTCTTATTTGTTTAAGAGGATGCTTCGATGATCCTCGATCCACGAGAATCTCGTACTACAAGCGGCTTTCGTGCTTCTTTGTACATCATCAGTGCAACTCCATGTGTGTCGAAGGCATTTTATTTCTGATGATCAGATTACCACAACAACCCCTACCGAAGATAATCTCTATTGTTTAGATTGCTTCCAATGTGTTTCACAAGTGCTAAGTACTGTCGGTTTGTATCTTCCGAATTCCACAGATACTTGAATGATCAGTCAGATCTCCCACATTGTGCGAACATTGCATGTACCTATAATAATTGGTGTCCTGGTTGTCAGGAGAGTCATTGATCTCGTGATTTTTCAACAATCGTAGCTTTCATCATCAAGCATCGTAACACATACGAGAGAAGACTATTCGACACTTAAGACAGAGCTTCAATCGTTTTAACTGATAATTTCTGGTTAGCGTTTGTTTAGCAAGTTTGATTGGTACGGGATGTTGTTACTAACCCAATCCCCAATCCTTATCTCTCATCCGAGCATGGGATTGGGAGTAAGCTTAGAAGTGATAGAGGTGAAGTTTATATTACTATTGACTGTTGTTGATCTGATCAAAATACTTGGATGTGAATTCTTATCCATATACATGATGCTATTAATATTAACAGTCCTAAACCTGCAGCACCTTCTACGTAAGTTATTCGAAAATATTTTATTAGATTGTATAAATATTTGACGATTGTTAATTTGATCACGACACCTGAATACAAATCTCTCCACTGATATCATTAGTGGGCGTATGGCACCGGATGATATTCATTGCAATCCTCTTCTTATTTGTTTAAGAGGATGCTTCGATGATCCTCGATCCACGAGAATCTCGTACTACAAGCGGCTTTCGTGCTTCTTTGTACATCATCAGTGCAACTCCATGTGTGTCGAAGGCATTTTATTTCTGATGATCAGATTACCACAACAACCCCTACCGAAGATAATCTCTATTGTTTAGATTGCTTCCAATGTGTTTCACAAGTGCTAAGTACTGTCGGTTTGTATCTTCCGAATTCCACAGATACTTGAATGATCAGTCAGATCTCCCACATTGTGCGAACATTGCATGTACCTATAATAATTGGTGTCCTGGTTGTCAGGAGAGTCATTGATCTCGTGATTTTTCAACAATCGTAGCTTTCATCATCAAGCATCGTAACACATACGAGAGAAGACTATTCGACACTTAAGACAGAGCTTCAATCGTTTTAACTGATAATTTCTGGTTAGCGTTTGTTTAGCAAGTTTGATTGGTACGGGATGTTGTTACTAACCCAATCCCCAATCCTTATCTCTCATCCGAGCATGGGATTGGGAGTAAGCTTAGAAGTGATAGAGGTGAAGTTTATATTACTATTGACTGTTGTTGATCTGATCAAAATACTTGGATGTGAATTCTTATCCATATACATGATGCTATTAATATTAACAGTCCTAAACCTGCAGCACCTTCTACGTAAGTTATTCGAAAATATTTCCTTAAATCTTATAAATATTTGACATTTGGTACTTTGCGCTTGACTATTTAATGTTAATGTTTCATTAGCGATTTCATTAAGCGATTAAAGAGTTTGGCAAACTTTCTGCACTTTTTTTGTATATATATTTTTCGTATTCTGGATTTTCTTTAATTGTCGTAATCCTATATATAATTATCAGACTAAACTTTCAAGTGAATTATCCCCTTACCGAATCCCATTGTTTTCGAATTATACAGAAATAAACGTATAACTTATGAGGAGTATCAAATCTTTTTATTATTCTTACAAATTGTTCAACAGGAGATAAATGAGTCCGATTTTCATGCTTCAATCTACTGGTTCTTAATCGATCTACAATATTGAAATGCATTAATCCTATTGGTTTTAATTGGACTTAAATCATATTATTTATGTTGAGTACTGTGTGTATTAGTTTGGTTTTCGTAGTGTAAAATGACTCATATATTGCTGAGTAGTTGTTTCGTCTTCTGATATCTAGTCATTGTAAATTTAGATTAATTGCTGAAATTAGACTATACTTTCGATCGTTCATCCGATAAAATGATGCAGCTTGATCTACATTACATAATGATATTCAAATACCAATTTCTAATTAGATTTATGATTATAATATACTTGACAGAGCCAAACTTCAACCAAATTTACCGTAAGTTGTTTGTATTAAACCATTCTACTGTTTTGTTTGGTCTGTTTTGCGAAAGTTTTGAAATCGCCTCTATTGAACCTATTACATTGTTCCGTTTTCAATGTTTACTAAGTATGTCGTGAATAAGAGAAAAAGTTATAGGGTCAATTTCTATGTTAAGTCCACACAGCTTATTTTAGCTTCTGGACAGGCCAATTTATCCATTCTTCTTGAGTCACGTTCTGATCTTGTTAATTATTCACTTATCAACCTTGACTGCTTTTACATGAGCGTGTGTATACACTTTTCTTACTATTCATCACATGTCTGTAACTTGTTTTTATGTGACCATAAATATTTATTAACGCTTAATCGAAATGGGGTTGGCTCACACGCCTTCTCCACCACGCATCATTTCTCATCGCTCTCTTCTATTCGGTCCATACATCTGATTGTCTTTCCAGATCAGTGAGTGTACGAAATATACGTATTCAAACATCCATTCTCGTATTTGACTTATTTAATTCCGTTATTCACTAATGCGATTTAAGTCGATAATTATATACGGGGATTGACGATATGTATATTTCAATAACAATTGTAGCGTGGCGTTGAGTTGAGGTTAACTATGAACACCGCTACCAAAAAACACGTGCCAAGTTAATCAGAAGGCGAATGTTGGACGTAACCAAATAAATCCACAAAATCTCCGAGAAGCCAAATATCAGAAGACAGTTAATGGGCCAAATCGAGATATATATTTGCTGGCGATCTCGTGGTATCGAAAGGATACCGAGATCGTGCCAGGATACAAGCTTGGTTACAGAACGTAACCGAATTCGCGCAAAGTTACAATCAAAGTGCAAGTAAAAGAATGGAAGCAAAATAAAGCTGTCATTAGGACAGTCAAACAAAAGCACATTAAAACAAACACTGGTACAGTTGTTTATAATAATAATTATTTTTATTAAACCAGTCGTGTTCTCGTGATAAATGTGAGTCACTACACAATCAACAATCAATCATACGATCTTATTGGAGTCAGATCTCGGGCCACAAAAAGGCAAACTAATAACAGATCGGACACTATTTTGTATGCTCCTTCATTTTATGTATATTTCAGTAGAGTATAACTGATATTAGTCACCGAAAAGTTTTGTATAAATGAACTATCTCACTAACCAATAATCTAAATTTTTTGTCTGTTGACTGAAATCCATCAAAAGCTTTATATGATTGAATAATGAATTCTATGAACATGTGAAAAATGAAGCTGATTCAAACATTGGTTTATTTACATAGGTGGGAAGTACATATTGCGTTTGAAAGAGATAGGGACGACTTATAGCTCAGGTGGATGTTTTCGATGTTATTTTGTTTTCTGAGTTGAGGGATTTATTTCCGAAGCTTTTTTGCCATCCCAAACAACATCATTAATGCCTACGTCAAGGGTGGGTTTTTCAGCTAGTCAATAGGCTTTTAAGTAGTTGATCTTGATAGACTTATTTATGATTCATCGACTATAGATTTTGTGAACACGAGAATACTGTTACTACAGAAAACGTAATAGATAGCCAATTTGACATAGGTTATATTCTTCAGAACTCTGCCTATAGGTCTTCTAAAGTTACTGCCGGCCCCAAACTCGGGTAAAGGATGCTGCTGTACTCCGGTCATGAAGAGGAAAATGCTCCATACAGTCAGGCAGTTGCTTTGATGTTGTCTAAAGAAGGGCGAAATGCACTTATTGAGTGAGAATCCCATGGATTTAAGATAATCAAAGCATCATTCAAAGCAAAGAAGGAGGGAATCACAATAAATGTTAACCACTGTTATGCACCCACGAATTATAAGAAGTGACGACAATAGAAATCGGTTCTTCAGTGGCTGCAATCGATCATAGCTATGTGCTCAGGACAGGACCTCAGCATCCTGATGAGAGATCTAAACGTCGAAGTCGGAATGGACAACAGCGGTCATGAAGATATCATGGGAAGATATGGACTGGGAGAAAGGAACGAAAATAGGGAGAGATTTGCAAACCTATGTGCATTCAACAAATTGCTTATCGGTGGTGCAATATTTACACACAAACGCATACACAAAGCTACATGGGTCTCACAGGATCACATCACGAAGAACCAGATAGATCATATTTGAATCACTAAAAAATTCAGAAGGAAAATAGAAGGCGTCAGAACCAAGGGAGGAGCTGACATGGTTTCAGATCACCACCTGGTTGTTGCCAAGACCAAACTGTACTTGAAGAAACACTGAACAGCTTGGTAAACAGCATTACAAAGGTTCAATACAGCCTTCCTTCGAGATGATGACAAACTCAACCAATTTAAGATAACTCTCTACAACAGGTTCCACACCTTTCAGGATCTACTGAAAGAAGAAATTACTATGGAGGACAACTGGAAAGGTATCAGAGAAGCATTAACTTCAACGTGTCGGGTGGTACTGGGCCGCAAATAGCATTATCATAAGGAATGGATCTCCATCGAATCCCTGAGAAAGATTCAAGAAAGGAAGAAGAAGACAGCAATTCACAACAGTCAAACAAGAGCAGAGAAAGTCAAGGCACTATTTGAATACACTGAAGCAGAAAAGCAAGTGAAGGAGAGCATTAGAGCCAACGAACAGAGGTACGTGGAAGGGTTAGCCACGACGGAGGGTGAAGCTGCAAGAGAAGGAAATATGAGACAGCTTTATGACTCAACGAAGAAACCAGTAGGGAAATATAGTAAACCAGAGAGACCGTTCAGGGACAAGGAAGGGATGACAATCACTGTGATTCAAGAACAGATGAAAAGATGGACAGAACACTTCTAGAAACCCTTGAAAAGACCAGCTCCTTTGAATCCACCGTTATTGAAACAGCACCTACAGACCTTCATATAGATCTCACCCCACGAACGACGGGAGAAGTCAGGACGGCTAAGAGCGGAAAAGCAGCAGGACCTGACAATATACCAACTGATGCACTAAAGTCAAACATAGAAGCAACTGCAATTATGCTTGACGTCCTATTCAGGAAGATCTGAGAGGAGAAACAAGTGCCGACAGACTGAAAAGAAGGATACCTCATCAAAATACCAAAGAATGAAGATCTGAGAAATTTGTGAGGACTACGGAGGCACCACATTACTGTCAGTACCGGAGAAAGTTTTCTACAGAATGTTGCTAGACCAGATAAAGGGTTGCATGAAATTAAATTAACAGTAAGAATCACTCGTAACAGATTGTTGATTAACCGGATGAGAGATTTAGTGGATGCTCAGCTATGAGATCAACAGACTGGACTCCGTAAGGATCGGTCGTGCACAAACCAAATCGCGACACTACGGATCATCGTCAAACAGTCAGTTGAGTGGAAGTCGTCACTATACATCAACTTCCTTGACTATGAGAAGGCGTTTGACAGTGTGGATAGGAGAACCTTATACAAACTTCTTCGACACTATGGTATACCTGAGAAGATCGTCATCACCAAACGAAGTTCATACAACGGACTACACTGCAAAGTCGAGCATAGAGGACAACTGACAGACGCATTCCAAGTGAGTCAGACAAGGCTGCTTATTTTCCTTTTCCTCTTTTTTCTGGTGGTCGACTGGATTATGAAAACCTGGACGTTTAAATGAAAGCACAGAATCAATTAGAAGATTTGGACTCCTCAGATGACCTGGTTATTCTATCCCATACACATGAACAAATGCCGATAAGGACAACCCTATGAATCAGTATGCCTCCGTATACACAAACGTAAAAGCAAGATCCTTAAACACAACGCAGATAACACCAACCCAGTCACATTTGATAGAGAAGCTCTGGAAGATGTAGAACCTTCAGCCTACCTGGGATGCATCATCGATGAACAACGAGGATCGGATGGAGGCCTAAAGCCAAGGATTGGTAAAGCAAGAACATCATTCCTACAGTTAAAGAACACATGGAACGCAAAACAACTGTCAACCAGTATCAAAGTTATAATCTTCAATAATAATGTCAAGACACTTCTACTGTACGGAGCTGAAACGTGAAGACCCACTGCAACCATAATCAAGGAGGTACAAGTATTTGTAAATAGTTGTCTAGGCAAGATACTCAATATCCGTTGGCCGGATACCAGCAATAGCCTACTGTAGGAGATCGAACCAATTTCCAGCTGATGAGTAAATCAGGAAAAGACGTTGGAAGTGGATAGAACATATATTGAGGAAATCACCAAACTGCATCACGAGGCAAGCTCTAACCTGGAATCCTGAAAAAATAATGAAAAGGGCAAGGTCAGCGAACATACTGCGTTGAGAACTGGAAGCAGACATGAAAGGGATGAATAGCAACTGGAATCAACTGTAAGTGACTGCATAGGACAGAGTTGGATGGAGAATGCTGGTGGGCGGCCTGTGTTCCCTCACGAGGAGTAACAGACGTAAGTAAGTAAGGAATTATATACTTCAGGCTTGGATGAACCATTTAAAAAACTGTCACTTGTAATTAAAATCAGAAGCGTAAAGCTCTTTTGAGGTCATCAAAAAATAAACATCTTATAGATATGTACTGAAGATGCCACAGGTATTTGGGGTTTGAAAACGCTTTAACCACTGGTTATCAAAGCAGTGTACATTAAATGTCAATTTTGTAAAATCAAAACTATCCATAATAAAAACAGTTTATTAAACAAAATATGCATTTTATTTCCGAATTTCCAACACAATCATTTCATTCGGTTTTATAGATAAAAAGACACGTTTTTATCAGTATAGGAGTCGTAGGGATTATTGAATGTTATCCAGATCACAAATTGGTCGAAGTTAGACATTCATTAAGAACCTGGAAGCACTGAAAAATCATCTCACCTGAATATGGAATCACTCCACAGTACTCATTCACGACATACCACCTGAATTGAACCCAGAGCCGATTATTTAAAACGCGGATAATTACCCTCTAGACTACTGAGCCGAAATCCTAATTTACTGCCACAATGAAGTCATATGGAAGAGATTCGATTCCGTTAACATTGAACTATTTGTCATTTAGATGTGTTTTCTTCAGATTTCAGTGAAATAATATAAACCAAACATAATTTCCTATTAAAATTAATGAATTTTATAATCTTAAACAGATTGAAACCTGCAGGTCCTCCATAAATTATCGTTACATATTAAGTGTTCGGAGTTAATATTTGAGTTTTTCAACCTTAATTATTGAAACCTATAACATTTATGATGCCGTCAATTTTATCAGTGTTAAAAATGCAGCACCTACGACGTAAGTTTTTAAATATATTTTCATAGTCTGTATTTATACATGACGAAAGATAATTCGACTATGACACATGAATACAAATGTCTCCACACAGATTCTCTTCCTAAAAGCGTCTTTCGTGCTTCTTTGTACATCATCAGTGCAACTCCATGTGTGTCGAAGGCATTTTATTTCTGATGATCAGATTACCACAACAACCCCTACCGAAGATAATCTCTATTGTTTAGATTGCTTCCAATGTGTTTCACAAGTGCTAAGTACTGTCGGTTTGTATCTTCCGAATTCCACAGATACTTGAATGATCAGTCAGATCTCCCACATTGTGCGAACATTGCATGTACCTATAATAATTGGTGTCCTGGTTGTCAGGAGAGTCATTGATCTCGTGATTTTTCAACAATCGTAGCTTTCATCATCAAGCATCGTAACACATACGAGAGAAGACTATTCGACACTTAAGACAGAGCTTCAATCGTTTTAACTGACAATTTCTGGTTAGCGTTTGTTTAGCAAGTTTGATTGGTACGGGATGTTGTTACTAACCCAATCCCCAATCCTTATCTCTCATCCGAGCATGGGATTGGGAGTAAGCTTAGAAGTGATAGAGGTGAAGTTTATATTACTATTGACTGTTGTTGATCTGATCAAAATACTTGGATGTGAATTCTTATCCACATACATGATGCTATTAATATTAACAGTCCTAAACCTGCAGCACCTTCTACGTAAGTTATTCGAAAATATTTTATTAGATTGTATAAATATTTGACGATTGTTAATTTGATCACGACACCTGAATACAAATCTCTCCACTGATATCATTAGTGGGCGTATGGCACCGGATGATATTCATTGCAATCCTCTTCTTATTTGTTTAGGAGGATGCTTCGATGATCCTCGATCCACGAGAATCTCGTACTACAAGCGCCTTTCGTGCTTCTTTGTACATCATCAGTGCAACTCCATGTGTGTCGAAGGCATTTTATTTCTGATGATCAGATTACCACAACAACCCCTACCGAAGATAATCTCTATTGTTTAGATTGCTTCCAATGTGTTTCACAAGTGCTAAGTACTGTCGGTTTGTATCTTCCGAATTCCACAGATACTTGAATGATCAGTCAGATCTCCCACATTGTGCGAACATTGCATGTACCTATAATAATTGGTGTCCTGGTTGTCAGGAGAGTCATTGATCTCGTGATTTTTCAACAATCGTAGCTTTCATCATCAATTATCTTAACTCTGAAAAATGATGACTATTCTACACTCCGGCATATTGAGTGTGTTTGGTTCGCCAACCATTCATCTCGTTAACCGTTAAATTATAAATCTCAACGGTGTTCGGAATCATAAGTCCATGCGAAGCGGCAACTATAGTTTATTAGCTTTTAGCGCAGATCATATTAAGGGTATGTCAGGCGAAAATTTTTCGGGTAAACGTAGAGTAGTTCCATTTACCAATTCTGCTGGACAACATCCTTTCTTAGACCCAACATAACTAAAGGAAGCTTATTAGCTCAATCGTTGCTTACAATGACAGTTGTACTAGACGCTTTCATCTATCTTTGTTGGCGTTCAACCATTCCGTTTGCTATTTGGATGATATGATGTCGTGCTAGTATGATGATGTACCTTAACGTTTTGACAATTCATTCATGCCTGTGTCCAATTATGCATATTGCTGTTCCCGGATGTGATATGTTGTGCATACTTTCAGATACCTTCCGTTGCAATAATTTCGGAATGAATGTTCGCGGTCGGTCTGTCGACGTGTCATATATCGCTTTTGTGCTAACTGAACTTCTTCGACGTCCGTTTCTTGTAACTTCGCCAGACCGTGATAATCGATTCCACTTGGAATAAGCGCGTTTATCAGTGTTCTTGATAGTGCATCAGCTACTTCGTTTTCTTGGCCTTTAACATATCGTATATTAGACGTGAACTGGGGAATAAATTTTAACTGCCGGGTTTTCCTCGGAGAATAATCATTTTGATTGCGCTTAGTGCTTTCGTGAGTGGTTTGTGGTCCGTGTACTTAGTGAAATTCGTACCTTCTACCACATGTCGAAAATGTTTTATTGACAAGTAAATTACTAGTAATTCTCTTCCGAAAGTACTGTATCTCGTTTGTGTAGGATTCGATCTCTTCGAGAAAAATGAAAGCGGTTCCCACGTGCCGTTTACTAGCTGTTGTGAAACGGCTCCTACCGCCACATTAGGTGCATCGGTCATGATAGCTAATGGTGTTTCGCTCTTTCGTCTAACTAGCGTCGTTTATTTGATTAGTGCCTTATTGGCGTTCTCGAATGCTTGTATCGCCTCTGCTGATAGATAGAATGTCCGGGCATGTCCCCTAACGCGTTAGTCAACGGTTGAAGTATTGCTACACAATTCGGAATAAAGCACCTGTAATAATTTATTAGTCTAGGGAATCGTCGTAACGTCTTCCGAGAGTCGAGTAACGGATAATATCTGATGGCATTGACTTCTGCTGAAATCGGCGTAATACGTTGAGAAGTGATTATGTGACCTAGGAACTGTAGTGATCCCTTTCAGAACTCACATTTCTCAACGTTTATGGAGATGCCATGTTTTCGTAGTTGCAGGAATAGTTGTCGTAGTTGCTGTAGATGCCTACTAGTAAGTCATCGATGTACGCATATACTCCAAGTAAATCTCTGATGACCTGGTCGATAAATAGTCAAAAGGTTTGCGCTGAATTAGTTAATCCGAAAGGCATGCACAGAGATTCATACAACCCGAATGGGGTCGTTACTGCTGTCTTGGGTATGTTCTGTGGAGCGACAGGAATATAACAGTATCCTCAAACTAGGTCTTCTAAATGAAGACCTAGTTTGACGATACTGGCAAAGCAAGGGTCGCATTTCTACAATTGAAAAACATATGGAACTCAAAACAACTTTCAACCAATATCAAAGTGAAAATCTTCAATACGAACATCAAGGCAGTTCTACTGTACGGAGCTGAAACTTGGAGAACTACAACAACCACAATCAATAAAGTACAAGTATTTATAAATAGCTGTCTACGCAAGATACTCAACATCCATTGGCCGGATACCATCAGCAACAGCCTTTTGTGGGAGAGAACAAGTCAGCTTCCAGCTGAAGAAGAAATTAGGAAAAGACGATGGAAATGGATAGGACATACATTACGCAAATGATCAAACTGCATCACGAGACAAGCCCTAACTTGGAATCCTGAAGGGAAGCGGAAAAGAGGAAGGCCTAAAAACACATTACGTCGGATAATAGAAGCAGATATGAAAAGGATGAATAACAACTGGAGGGAGCTGGAGAGGATTGCTTGGGACAGGGTTGGATGGAGAATGCTGGTGAGCGGCCTATGCTCCTTCACGAGGAGTAACAGGCGTAAGTAGTAGTAGTCAAACTAGGTCGATCTTTGAGAAGACAGTAGCGCTTTTTATACTGTTAGTAAAACCGTGAATGTGCGGCATAGAGTATCTGCCGGCTACTGTTTGTTTGTTAAGTTCGCAATAGTCTCCACACAACCTAATTCCTCCATTCTTTCTTGGGGCCATGTGTATCGGGATGCCCACGGGCTGCACGAAGGCCTTACAATGCCTAGCCTCATCAACTTGCCGAATTCTTGTTTCGCTATTTTTAATCTTCTGGGGTCTAATCTTCTTGGTCTTGCGATGATTGATGGCCCGTTTGTTTTAATATGGTGGCGAATGAAGTGTCTGAGATCTGCTTTATTGTATGTTACTTTCACGAGTTCGGGAAACTCCGTTAACAAAGATTTACATGGATCACCGCGGCTATTATCTATCACTAGATCTATGGGAACGGATTCCGTAAATGTCCCTCTTATTGCAGTGGTGTGGCTACCGTTTATAAGTCTGTGATGTCGTGAGTCTACTAGCAAGTCGGAGTTATATAGGAAATCAATGTCCATTACAGGGTAATGATACATCAGCTATGACAAATTCCCGGCGTTACGAAGCGCCTCGTCCGGAATCCAGGGACAACTTCCGTTTGCCGTATGCCTTAATATTCGGTCATTTCGCCGCTTTTAGCACTAGTGACGTGTTAAAGCTTTTTCTCTCCTCACTTAATGGAGATACTACGCTGATTTCCGCTCCTGTATCGAATAAGAAGTGAGCGTCAGTTACCCTGTCCTGGACATAAACGATTGTTTCTAGGAGCTTTGCTAGTTGTCGCAGCCGTCACCGACGGCCGGTGGAATCGTTTAACTCTGCATTGTGATCTACATTTGCGAGCTCTATCACCGTATATATGATGGTGCCAGAATATTGTGGGAGCTGAGCGTCCCGTAGAGTATGATCGACTTCTATCTATCGGTCTACTTTGCAATGATCTTCTTTGTCGTTCTTATTAAGGTTCGTCAGTTTGGGGCATAGAATGCATCGATTCTTTCATCTACTGTAGAGTTGTCTTTGTGTACTCTTGTATCTTGTTCTCTCATATATCGTATCGGCTATTTTAGTGATGTTGTCTATTTCTACATCGCTATCCTTAACTGTAAGGACTTGTTGGACGCTTACTGGGAGTCGTCGGAGCCACAACTGATAAAATATGTTTCAGTTTACTTTTCTGTTCCAACTATGCTGCTCATATGATTTTTTAACAGTGGTGGAGTTCTATCTCCTATTCGCACTTGACTGAGCAGCTGCTCGGCGGCTTGCCGGTCGGTTAATAAGAAGGCTTTTATCACTGGCTGCTTTTATACGCCTTATGGCTTTTTTTGCGTCAGGCTTAGCTAAGACCTCTTGCACATTGTCTGTTACTTCGTTCGGAAGTAGTGAGATTGCATGACCGGATATATCTTGCTGTAAGTGAACATGGTTGGCTACAACATACTTTTCAAGTCTAATGAGCCAAAGTTGAGGGTCAGTGACCTTAAAGTGGGGGAATAGTGAAATTAATGGACCTCACGGACGGTGTTTGTGGAAGGTATATCGAGTCATTATTTGAAGACATATTTGTAGCGTGGCGTCGAGTTGAGATTAACTGTGAACACCGCTACCAAGAAACACGTGCCAGACAAATCAGAAGGCGAGGTTGAACGTAACCAGATTTATTTCGTTGGCGATCTCGTGGTATTGAACGAATACCGAGATCGTGCCAAGAAGTGGTACAAGTGGAAGCAGAAGACAGGAGTACGTGCGAACAGTACCAAAAACCGCGGAACAATGATGGAAGGTAATGGAAGCACAAAATGGCTATAATTAGCACAGTTAAACAAAAGCACATTAAAACAAACACTGGTACAGTTGGTTATAATAATAATTGTTTTTAATAAACCAGTCGTGTTCTCGTGATAAATGTGAGTCACTACAGGAGCCCCCCGCTAGAAAGGGTTTACACTTTCGATAAATAGCGGTTTGAATCGTGGGACTGATCGGCTGACGAGCGATTGTAGGACGGAAGAATTGGCGAACAGGAAAGCGATCGTTGATCGTCGAGTTGCCAACTTAGGTCGTTTTCGGAGACGGTACCAGGAGCGATGTGTTGTATTTATTGTTGAGTTGGCATGCTACACCAGAGTGGTTTGTATCCAGAATCTGAAGATGGCGTTCGTAGGGGTCCGGACCA